ACTGCTAAGTAGTGATTGTGTTTTTCAGCAATAGTGTGCACCCTTAATTTACAGAGAAAAGAAGGTCAGGGAAAAATCTGCAGATTGAAAAATCTCCATACAAGTTCTTAGTGCATTTTTCTTTTTTGTACTTGTTACTTTGTACTTTTTGTTAGAAAATGCTTTTTTCAAGTTTTCTAAGGTATCTAATATTTTAATACTTAATTTCCATGATCTAAATATTCTTAAAAATTAAAAGTTTGTTGTCATTTGGAAATGTGTAGGCCTTCTTGCATTATTATGCTGTTACATTATGATTATATATTCAGTGGCATAAAATGGTCTTTAAAATGACAATAATATCGCTTATCGCAGTTATTTCTGAGGCAATATATCGCAGGACAAAAACTTGTTATCGTGACAGGCCTATATAATATAAGTAAAAATATATATATATTTTATATATTTAGTGTACATATAAATATATAAAAATGCACACGTGTGTGTATATATACAAACTACATATTTACTACATATATCCATTTAAGTTAATATTTTGTGTGCATATGAATTTATATACATATAGACACTATATTAATTATATAAATTACACTAAATTAACTAAATATTTTCACTAACTATATACATTTAAATTAATATTAAGTGTATATATGACTATATATTTAAATACATACACGTTCACGTGTGTGTGTGTGTGTGTGTATGCATTTATATTTAATATTAATACATTCTAAATATTAACCAAATATTACCAGGATAATCTGAGCACTAAAAATAATAGCTAAATGACTCCATTAATGGTTTGATGAGGTGTAAGGGTGGATCCTTCAGTAATAAAATCAGGAACTAACGTCTCAAATGAATGACACTGATTTCAAAGGTTACTAAAACAAAGTTGAACCTTAATCAAACTCAACGAATCCCCTTCTTCAGCGCACTTCTCAGACTTGTACATCAATAAACGATTAAACTCCTGCATTTAAAGGGGCTGGTAAACTTCATACACAAAACATGAAGAGAACTAAATAGTCTGACAGGCATGAAACAGCCTGCTGTGCTCACATAAGCTGAAGAGGCTAATAAATGAGTGGCTCTGAGACCACAATCCAGTCCAGTACATTAGAAAATAAACGTATATGCGCATTATTAGTAGTATAGGACACTCAGCGCACTGATACAGAGCACATTCACTCATTAGCACTGTTAGCATTACCTGCTATCGCACTGTGTTTTTCCTCACAAGACAAAAGACAGCTTTAAAATCACGTAATTTCATTCATATTTATGTTTATAGTTGTGTCAAACCAAGAGGCGTTATGAGAAAAGACTATAAATGTGAAACGGGTATTTTCTTTTATTACATTTTCAGTCAGCGGCCCGGAGCGACTCTCCGGCTGTGTGTCAAAACCTAGGGAGCTCCCTAACTAGACAGTACTTTCAGGTCGTCAAAAGCGCGTACAAACTCTGGAACGATCCCAAAACGTCCTAAAGCGTTCGAAAGGCGCTGTTTTCGAAAGCTCGAACGCGCCCCTGACAGCTGTGTAGCTGTGTAGCTGTCTAGCTAGGGAACCGACAAGGTTTTGAGACTCTCTCTCACCTGGACGTGAAGACTTTGGAGCAGCTGATGGAGCTGCTCAGGTCGCACACGGCGCGGTAATTGGCGTCGCGGGTCTTTTCCCTCTCCACGTGGAAAGCGTACAGGGATATCAGAATTCCTGAGAGACACACCAGCAGCCGGACTATCCGCTCCCAGCGAGGGGTGGACACTCGCAAGACGGGCGCCGCCATTTTTTCCCCGGCCTTTGCACAAGCGCGCGCAGCCTCCCCTGCCTCGACCGTTGGGCGCTCGGCGGGAGCCGGGCTGGGCGGGCGACGTGGAAAAGCGTCGAGACGTCACAACATCAGGGGGCGTGGCTAACGCGGGTGTTTTTTTTTTACGTGGGCGTGGTTTGTTCAACGGGGGCGTGTCCACAGAGCATCTCGCCATTCTTGCGTCAGCGGGGGCCAATATAATAGTACAGATTTTTTTGTCATTTATTATTATTATTTTTTTTATTGCAAATTGTACACAACAAGACAAGGGAAATCCAACAACATAAGGCACATCCACCATGAATAATAAGAATAATCAACATAAATAATACTAATTATTACACAACAAAATAGCAACAATGAGTGGAAAAGAGAGAGAAAAAAACAAACACACAAGGATCAAGGATTGATACAAGAAGTACATAAAGACATCAGAGAAAAATACATTAAAATAATAAATGTTTTGAGATGGACAAACAAAAAGTGCGTCCCAAATCGCTTTGAAATCGAAATTTTCTGCCTTATTCTGTGATAAAAAATGGAAAAAGTGTTTGTAGTATATAAACCAATCATAATCATAAAATTGTCATTAGGAAAATATATATCAAAAATATTATAGAATACAAATTATTGGTTATTGTCCAGCAGTGTATTTTATTTCTTGGCCAGTTAAAAGTAAGACCTAAGAAAAGTTTTTTTTTTTTTTGTCAATTAGACAAACATTTATTTTATTTCTTTTTATTTTATTTAGTCATTTAGCAGAGAATTAGAATTAGACAAACATACATAAATATTATTATTATTGTTATTATTATTACATACATTTGACATTTCTGTCCCCATCACTTCTGAAATGATTGCTACGCCCCTGCCCTGTAACATAACTGAATATAAAACTTTAGCTATGCCGTGTTATCTTCATTGTAGGGATCAAATAGGCTTTGTGGCTCCATGTGAAGTTTAATCGGTGCATGGGAAAAGGGCCAAAACGGCTCTTTTGCTGTTGAAGGTTGCAGACCCCTGCACTAGTCTATGATGTTTAGTAGTATAAATAGTGCGAGTAGTGCGTTGACACCGAAAATTCCAAAAAGAAAAAGTGCACTTTAAATACCCGGATGATGCACAGAAATAGCTGGAAAAACGAAGTGTGAAATGTTGGACACTTCATGCACTCAACTGTCACAGCTTTAATTACGTAGAGAAGAGGGAGGGGCTATCAGACTCCGATTATGAATGACAAAATAAAATTCATATACTGCATGGTTGAGTACATAGTGCATAAGTAGGCTACATAGTGTATATATAATACATTCAGACATAATTTAACTAAAATTTAAATAAATAACAAATACAAATAATACAAATCAAATGACAGTAGTTTATCAGTAATCCTAAAAAATAACACTGCCAAACACACGTTAAAAAAAAACAACTTACTTACACATAGTAAGAAATTATTATAAAAACTGAAACAGAAGCGAAACAAGTAATAGGAAAGAGGAGAAATAAAACGCGATACTTATCCTTTGCCCGGTGGACAGATATTTTGATATATTGTTTTATGAGACAACATACTCATAAAAAAAATAAAACATCCTTTTCTTTGAGTTGCATTTCAATCAGGCCCTTTGCACTCTGATTAGATGTTGTAAAAGGACACAGAGAGAGAGAGCCTTTGCTTCAGATAATGTGATGAGAAAGTGTCAACCCTAACTTGATAGTATGACTGAAGGAGTTTAGTGTTGCAAAATTATATATTTGATATAATGGTATAATGTAATATAATATAATCATGGGTAGTAACTGATTACATGTAATCTAGATTAAATAACTCCAAAAATTAAGTACTCGTAATTAGATTAAATTACATTTTATTTCATACTGGTAAAAAATGTATAGCCTGAATGCACTGTAAGTCGCTTTGGATAAAAGCGTCTGCTAAATGCATAAATTATTATTATTAATTATTATTTTAAAATACTTGTAATCAGACTACAGTTAGCATACTTATTTATTGATTACATGACTACATATTATTCACACAATAGCAATACATTATTCATAATTCCTCTTTTTCATCTTTTTACCCTCTGAGATTTTAAAAGAAATATTTTAATTATTAAGTATCACATTTGCATGTTCACGGTTCTCTGGCGCTGCTTAATGGTCACATGGCATGCAGGTAAACTAATAAAATATTTAATTTTTTTAGTTAAATATTTTATTTTGATTGATGCTTTTTAAAATTATTTAGTAATTAATTTTACATGTTTATGATTTAATTAATTATTAGCTTTTCATTAAACTTAGAAATCCCCTGCAGTTCCTTCACAAACCCCAACTTCATGTTGTTAATAACAATGAATGGAATATATTTTTTTACTCTTTGTATTTTTATTTCAATGTGGTACAAGATTATCCTATTTAAATCAATGTGATAAATGAGTTGTTTCAAAAGTAATCTAAAAGTAGTCTGATTATATTACCTAAAATGTGTAATGTAATGGATTACGTTACAAACTGAGATTTTTGTCATGTAATTTGGAAATAGTAACGGACTACAATCTGTAAGTAATCTACCCACTTCTGAATATAATACATTTAATATTATACAATATTATATTTATTACGACACCAAATATGTCTTACAAATTGAATAAATTTTTCTGGGTTATGGGTTACAAGATAACATGAATGACATAAACACATGCTATTATGCATGATTTTATCAGAGACAGTTATATAGTATATGCATATGTAAATACAGTAAAAACAGTAATAATGTGAAACATTTTTACAAATGAAATAAGCAATGGTAAGAAATATTTCTTGAGCAGCAAATCAGCATATTAGACTGAGTAATGGCTGCTGATAATTCAACTTTCTATCACAGGAATAAATTACATATTACAATATATTAACATAGAAAACAGCTATTTTAAATTGTAATAATATTTCACAATTTTACCGTTTTTACTGTATTTTTGATCAAATAAATGCAGCCTTGGTATATATACACGTGTGTGTGTGTGTGTGTGTGTTTTTGTGTGTGTGTGTGTGTGTGTGTGTGTGTGTGTGTGTGTGTTAAAAGTTTGCATGCATAAAGAAATGACTGAATCTTAAAATATGTGTCATTTATTGTTTGTATTGCCAAGTATTGCATTCAAGTGCATTGTATTGTATGTTGTATGTTGTCCTGAATTGTACAGTCGTTTCAATGTCAGAATCACAGAAGGTGCAATTATTGTTATCAATATTAACTCTATGTCTAAGAAATTATGTTAAATATATGTTAAAAAATGCGGAAGTGAGCTTTGTTTTGCATGGACGCACGGCTAAAAACGGCCCAGCGGTCAGCCAATCAGAGTGTTTTAAATGATCGACTAGCACCAAAACGCAGCCAATCACAAGCGAGCAGGAACTCTCCGCCAATCACCGAGCGCTTCTGAAACCCACGTGACGTTCGCGTTTCAGAAAACCGCGTGACAGCGGCGTTGTTCACGGAAGAGACTCGCAGGGAGGAGCTCGTGCTGCAAAGCGACGTATTCTAATCGATATCATGGCCACCGACATCGACAGATTAGTGTCGTTCGAGGAGGCGCATTACGATGAGTATGACTATTACAACCTGAAGGAATACTCCTGCCATGCTGGAGGAAAAGGCAGAAGTAAGAAGGAGATCGTGTGTGTATGTGTGTGTTTGAGTGTGTGTGTGTGTGTGTGAGTGTGTTTGTGTGTGTGTGAGTGTGTGTTTTTGTTTGTGTGTGTGTGTGTGTGTGTGTGTGTGTGTGTGTGTGTTAAAAGTTTGCATGCATAAAGAAATGACTGAATCTTAAAATATGTGTCATTTATTGTTTGTATTGCCAAGTATTGCATTCAAGTGCATTGTATTGTATGTTGTATGTTGTCCTGAATTGTACAGTCGTTTCAATGTCAGAATCACAGAAGGTGCAATTATTGTGATCAATATTAACTCTATGTCTAAGAAATTATGTTAAATATATGTTAAAAAAATGCGGAAGTGAGCTTTGTTTTGCATGGACGCACGGCTAAAAACGGCCCAGCGTTCAGCCAATCAGAGTGTTTTAAATGATCGACTAGCACCAAAACGCAGCCAATCACAAGCGAGCAGGAACTCTCCGCCAATCACCGAGCGCTTCTGAAACCCACGTGACGTTCGCGTTTCAGAAAACCGCGTGACAGCGGCGTTGTTCACGGAAGAGACTCGCAGGGAGGAGCTCGTGCTGCAAAGCGACGTATTCTAATCGATATCATGGCCACCGACATCGACAGATTAGTGTCGTTCGAGGAGGCGCATTACGATGAGTATGACTATTACAACCTGAAGGAATACTCCTGCCATGCTGGAGGAAAAGGCAGAAGTAAGAAGGAGATCGAACTGAACACTAATCGCCATTGCCCGGCCGGACACGAGAGAAAAATAGCAGAAAAACTGCAAAACAGTGAGCTGAAGCGCAGGAGAACCAAGAGCTCTTCCTCCTGAGGGAAATGCATTGAGGTGAGGATGATGCACGTGCAGGTCCTCATGTGCATTCCTGTCTTTAATGCCATTTGCATTGCTACTTCAATGCATATCTGTATTCTATTGTGAAAATTAATTTTTAATGCATTGTTATGAGTTACAGATTACTGGAGATGGATGAGTGAAACCGGATCGAGGTCCAAATGTCTGTTCTGCCCTTTTCCCACACACACACTAAATGATTATATTGAGCTGGAGGCGCCTTAAACGTTCACTGACTTAAGAAATCAGATGAGTTCAATTGAAGGAGAAGAGACTTCTATACTGTTAGACAAATGATAATAAATACATTTGCATAATCCTCTTTGTGGTCTTTGTATTCTTTATGTTTTTAACAAGCATCCAGCTTTTTTTATCTGAACATGGGAATAAGTTGCAAGTATGTGATTTTCAAGGTTTTTAAGAAAAGATAAAATGAGTAAATTGTCAAAATCATTTTATATTTAAGTGTCACTGTATGATATTCACACCTTGGCGCTCTATCTGATAATTTGGGAAGG